GACCCATTGGTGGAAGGACATCCCTCAACCTGGGAGCAGCTACATAGAAGGCCCTCGCTCATGACCCCACCAAACGTGTCTGAGAAGGGCTGTGGGACCGGGAGGAGGGCCTCCACTGGGGCCAAGAAGACTCATACGGGGGCAATACAGTCCTTTGGTACAGAAACGTCAGCAGGTCCAAAATCCCCCCCACCATGCTTGGTGCACCTTTATTGGCTTCCTGTCAGTTTCTCTGCTCAAATCCAGGTGCTGACGAAGGCTTTGTTAGAATGTCTCTTCCGGAAAATGGTCATCTGCCCCACCCCCTCCTCTCTATCCACGTTGCTCTAAGTGGCCACACCGAGGGAGACCGAAAAGACAATGGCCAGGAATGGGACTTTCCGGTGGTGGCTCCCATTCTTTGGAATAAGCTGCCAACTGAGATATACCAGGCTCCTTCGTGCCTTAAGTTCAGTAAATTGTTGAGAACAAAAAATATTCAAAGCTGCCTTCAAGATCTGAATCTCCAGGATGATGTAATTTTTCTTTTTTCTCTCTTTTTTGGTACGAATTTCAAACTTGATAGTTGTGTGTCACCATATTGTTTAAACGTATAGTCTTGTCAGTTTTTAAGTTTTAACTTGCAAATGGGTTAAAACAGGGCTTGCACTGATGGCATTGCAGATAAAACAAACAAATAAATAAATTCAGATAGCTTGGATCCAATATTTATTTATTTATTTATTTAAAACTCCGTCTTTCTCCTGAAAGGACCCGTGCCGCTTAGGGCTTTATAGATCATCCTTTGCCCTTTGGATTGGGCCCAGAAAGAAACTGGCAGCCAGTGAAGCTGTTCTACTCCTACCTCCCTGTAACCAGTCTGATGGCAGCATTTAAAGCCAGCTGAAGTTTCAGAACCATCTTCAAAGGCAGCCCCATGTTGAGTGTGTTGCGGTAGTCCAACTGGAATGTCACTAAGGTTTGGTCCCTGTAGCTAAATCAGACTTCTCCAGGAATGGGCACAGCTGGCAAACCAGTTTTACTTGTGAAAAGGAATTCCTGATCACCACAAAAACCTGAGCGTCCAGGATCAGGGATGAGTCCAAGAGTAGACCCAAGCTGTGAGCCTGAATTGGGTGTGTGGGCAGGTGGGTGTTACCCCACTGAGCACAACTTAATCCTTAATCCCTGGTCTGTCCATTGACTGATCAGGACTGCTTCTGTCCTATCTGGATTAAGTTTCAATCTGTTTCATAGAATCATAGAATGATAGAATAGTGAAGTTGGAAGGGGCCTCTAAGGCCATCAAGTCCAACCCTCCGCTCAAGGCAGGAATGCAAATCAAAGGATATCTGCCAAGTGGTTGTCTTTAAGCTTCTCTTGAATGCCTCCTGTGTTGGGGCGCTAATCACTTCTTCAATTAACTGGTTCTACTGTCCTACTGCTGTAACAGTTAATATGTTTTTTTCCTGATATTCAGCTGAAATCTGTCTGAAATCTGAGCCCATTTTTGCGTGTCCTGCGCTCTGGGATGATCGAGAACAGATCCCGCCCCTCTTCTGTAGGACAGCTTTTCAAGTATTTGGAAAGTGTTGACCTCATCCAGTCCATTCAAATTTATTTGATTTATATACTACCCCATTAGTGCTATACACTATTCCGGGTTGTTTGTACAAAAATAACAATAACATAAACAAAACATAAATAAAACAATAACAGGTTAAAATCAATTTAAAATTCATTAAAGATATGCCTTTAATCTGGAACAGATATAGCAAAATATTTATTCCACCAGGTTCTCCATTACATCAATTGGTAGAGCTGGAGTAAGCCACAGAACCTTTGAAAGGATGGATTGAGAATTTATTAAGAAAGGGACGTCCTACTAGAATAAATGATGGCTAGGGAAAAAATTGGGAAGAAAGAACAAATTAAAAAGAGATAAGAATGAACAACTTAGCTTGGTATAATATGATTCAGTTTGCACAATAGACAAAGGACCTGGGTAAAAAGAAACGGTAAATGTAGGGAAGTTTAAAAATGTGAAGGGATCATATAGCAAAAGGAAAATGCAGATGAAGATAAGTAAGTAAAATTACAGTAAGTAAAAGTTGCAAAATATTATTGGAAAAAACATCAGGATGACTTACTTAACATGTTACAGGAATATGATCTAGGGGAAGGAATAAGTACCAGCATTTGGAAAAATAGATATGAAATATTAGATTGAAATATTTGTCAGTAAGTATAAATGACCATTTTTAAAAATTAGGTTAGAGATGGTACTTAACTGCAGTGAAATTAAATCAAATAAATGTCAAAGATATAACGGGGAGAAAGCCAAAAATCAGATACTTATTTACATATGTGGCAAAAATGCAAGAATATATTGAAATCTTGGCAGTTGGTTTTTCTGGACATAAATGAAATAAGTACATTATATTTAGCAGCATGTCCCAAAATAGCGCTTTTATCAATATTTGAAAAGGAAGAATGTAGGCACACAACTAAAGAACTGCTTTCTGAGTTGTTAACAGTGGCAAGATTGATTATAGCTCAGGACTGGAAAGAAATCTATAATTTTCAATTAAATGATTTGTATCAGGAAGTTTGGGATATAGGTACCCTGTTTCCCTGAAAATAAGATCTAACCTGAAAATAAATCCTAGTAGGATTTTTCCGGATGCTCGTCATACAAGCCCTACCCCGAAAATAAGCCCCAGTTCAGTGAAACCCTGCCCTCCACCCTTGTGCAGAAACCAGAAAAAGAGGACAGGACTATATATGAATAAACGTAGATGGTTGTACATGAAAAAAAAAAAAGAAAACATCATCTGAAAATAAGCCCTAATGCATCTTTTGGAGCAAAAATTAATATAAGACCCTCTCTTATTTTCGAGGAAACAGGGTAATAGTGATAAGCTTATATGTAATATTAAAGTTAAGAAGGGGATGCCGAGTAAGAATAAATTTACAGATATTTTTGTTTTTGTTACATAATTTAAAAAAAAGAACAGGAAAACATTATTTGGCGTTCGATGAAAAGGACAGGGAGATCTGGGTGTCGTCTCCGTACGAGGACACCAATCTCCAGAAGTTCAAACGATCTTTCCCAGTCCTTTATGTGTCTGTTAAAAAGCATGGTGGACGAGACAGAACCCTAAGGGATGCCGAAGGCCAATGGCTAGGGCATCAGACAGGAGACCCTGAGCATCAACTTCTGAGACTGCCCTCCCATGAAGGATCTGTTGTTGTTGTTTAGTCGTTAAGTCGTGTCTGACTCTTCGTGACCCCATGGACCAGAGCACGCCAGGCCCTCCTGTCTTCCACTGCCTCCCGGAGTTGGGTCAAATATGAAGGATCAGAGCCACTGCAAAACGTTGCCTCCGAAAATCCCGTCCCAGAAAGCCAACCTGGAAGGATCCCATAGTTGATGGTGTTCAAAGCCAGTGAGAGGTCCAGCAGAACTAACAGGGACATACTTCCTTCGCTCATTTCCCCGTCTAGGTCATCCACCAAGATGACAAAATCTGTCTCTGTTCTATATCCAGGCCTGAGGCTAGGTTCAAATGGATCTGGAGCGGTGGTTCCCAACCTGGAGAACCCAAATGTTCTTGGACTGCAGCTCCTAGAAATCCTGGCCAGCACAGCTAGTGGTAAACTCATTCATTCATTCATTCATTCATTCATTCATTCATTCATTCATTCATTCATTCATTCATTCATTCATTCATTCATTCATTCATTCATTCAATTTTTATATCACCCACCTGACTAGTGTAGAGCAGTGGCAATAACATTGAAATTAACATTACATTTAAAAATATGTGGCCGTTAAAAAGGTGAAGCTAATAGACAGGAGGGCCTGGCGTGCTCTGGTCCATGGGGTCACGAAGAGTCGGACACGACTAAACGACTAAACGAATAGTCTCGGTGGGCTATTCAAATGCATTTGGAATTATTTTGGAACAACATACGTATTTTGTGTCTATTTTGTAGAGCCTGTTGGAATAAGAAAAGTTTCAGGGATTTCTTAAAAGTCGCCAGAGAGGGGGAACCAGGCGAATTTCTGATGCCACCAAAGCTGAGGGGTCACCACTGAGAAGACGTTGTTCCTTGTTTTTTCCTTCCAGGTCTCCCTTGGGGTTAATATCCTCAGCCGTCTGGTCTAGGATGTACAAGAAGGAAGGACAGTCCCTGTTGGAAGCAGGCGTTCTGCCACACGCTGAGGTCGCAGACCTTTTAGGGTGAAGGCTTTTGCGAGTTTTAGCCCCAGAACATCGGAGGACTACATCTAGATAATCTGATGTAGATTTTATTGTTGTTTGCTTGTTTGCTTGCTTGTTTGTTTATTTATTTATTTATTCTATTTATATCCCGCCTATCTGGTCATTATGACCACTCTATTTAGTTGTGTCTGACTCTTCGTGACCCCATGGACCAGAGAACGCCGGGCCCTCCTGTCTTCCACTGCCTCCCAGTGGAGTTGGGTCAGATTCACGTTGGTCGCTTTGATGACCCTGTCCAGCCATCTCATCCTCTGTCTTCCCCTTCTCCTCTTGCCCTCACACTTTCCCAACAACAGGGTCTTTTCCAGGGTCTTCTCATGAGATGGCCAAAGTATTGGAGCCTCAGCTTCAGGATCTGTCCTTCCAGTGAGAACTCAGGGTTGATTTCCTTCAGAATGGATAGGTTTGTTCTCCTTGCTGTCCAGGGGTTTCTCAAGAGTCTCCTCCAGCACCACAATTCAAAAGCATCAATTCTCTTCTCATGAGAAGGCCAAATTATTGGAGCCTCAGCTTCCAGGTGTACATGACCTTGTCTCAAACATGGCAGTCCAGACCAACCATGCCCTGTACCTGATTTTCATTGCTTGTTTTTAGTCTCGTGTTGCTATGTCTTCTCACTCTCAAACCCCAGAATTACTGGGTCATGGCAACCAAACAGGACACACCCTCAGAGGTATATATAATGATCCCCAGCAGTGGCTGCCTGTTCACAGGAAGGCTGCACCAGTAACAATGAAGACTTTGTGGGCTGCTTTGCTGGTGAGCCTCGTATGCATTGGAAAAGGTAAGGGAAATTGTGGCTTTGCCTTTGAGCGAACAAATAACTATGCATCACGGGTGGGTAGTTGCTGTTGGACTCCAAAGCCCATCACAGCCCTGCACAATATGATGAGGGGGTATACAGAAAAGCCCGTGGAAGTTGCCCACTTAATCCCTTCAGGTTTAAAAACAGAAGCAGAGGATTCGGGAAAACCAGAGGGATTTTGAAGGGTGGTATCCTTACGAACAGTGTGGAGCTGGCTGTTGGACTTTTGCTCTGAAATGGCTTTGTGACCTTTCTGAGGGAGAGAAAATCGGATTCTTTGCAGGGTGTCCTCAGAAGTCTATTCAGAATGAGGGCCAAGCAGATTTGAAAACAAATTGAACAAGAAACAATACTATCTATTGTGTGTTACTTTTTCAAGATAATTAGAATATAACAGTGGTTCCTTTTGCTTTCTAGAAGTATTTTGATTTTTATTTTTTTTTTACAAATTTAAGCCACATTCTTACATTTTGCAAGGACTGCTCCCCGTAGGAGTAATGCCATCAGTTCCTTTTCTTCTTCTTCACAAAGTTAACATTAACAAGTGACTTTGGAGAGCTTTGTAATGAGCCCTGCAACCGACTTTTAGGGGGTCCGACAGCTGCCATCCTCCACACAAGCAGGGAACTTCATCCCATTCCCTTTGGATGGAACACCCAGTACTCTGTGGGATCGCACAATAAATAGTAAATTGGGATTGGGATCAAAAACAGCGCACATAAAACAGAAAGAGAAAGGGCTTGGTGTGGTGGCCAAACAATAACCCCCAGTCAGATGTGCCACAGAGCTGCGTCCGCAGCAGGTAGCTGTTGGGGCTGTTACCTGGGACCCTCACCTGTCGGAGAAGGTGGGAAGCACTCCATCGCTGGAGAGGCACAACTGCAGAGTAGATAATAGGCCAACATTTAAAGAAAATTTCAAAACTAAGAAGACAAAAACGTTGTGACACCTTAAAGACAATCTGCTCTATTTCAATGTGAGCATTCATGGAGACATCCAATGCCTCAGAATTGTCCACGGAAGCTCACATTAAAATAAGGCAGTTGGGTGCAGCAACATTTTTGTCTTCTTTATTTTGCATTTTTCTTCTGTTTCGGTCCTGATAGGCTAGCACAGGTTCAGAGGGACACTCCTTCTGAAAACTACAGGAAAGAATCTCCGTTTCCTCATGGGAGCTACTTTCAAAGAAGAGGTCGCTGCAATTTCTCTGTTACCTATGTGGGTCACTCTTTTGCCAGCTTCCTTAGGGACTAAACGGTTAACATCCTGGAAAACTGGTCCTGAACGAGTCGGAGATGTAGTATCACCCTTGCTCTAAGGCGTCTTTGGGTGTTGAGTCTGCCTGGGTTTTGTAGGTCAGAGACCGGCTGCAATGAAGCAGTAGAACAGGCATTGAAGAACGCCGGTCCAGGAAACGAGTGACCTCAGTTGTGCATTTATTTGCCCCCCTTCCTTTTGTGTAGTGGATTCGCTCTGGTGCTACCGATGCGAAGATGAACCTTCCAACTGGAACTGTATGAAAATGGTGAAGTGTGCGGAGACGGACAGATACTGTACCACGACGGTGACCACCAGTGGGAGAGGTATGTATGGATGTTTTTACCTTCCCTCTGAAGCAAAGGGCCTCAAAGGGACCGTGAATCCCCATGAACTCAGATTGGAGGAGGAGGGGACTCTAACCTGCCTCTCGAGATGGAGAGATCCCACCTCTGCCCAGATTTTGCAACCCCTCCAACCCTTAAAACAGGCTGCCTGTGAAACTCCAACCTTATTGGCTGAGATGCTGGGAGGTCACGGGAGGTGGCCAAACATTCTAACTCATGAGCAGAAAGGATAAATGGTAGAATGTAGTGTTCCATTTCCGAAGGAAAGTTTCATTGATGCCTGAACACACCAGGGTTTTTGCCTGGAGTGACCCAAATGGCCACTCGAAATAAACAACGCTTGTTCCAATCTCTGCTAAGTCTGTGTATGTTTAAATATCCTGCCTGCTTGTACAAGAGTGTTTTAACACTCCCAGATGTCTTATATCTGGCTCACAAGGGAAATGTGTGTTTCCTGCTCTTAAACATTTTTCCCTGCAGCAAGGCAAACAAACAGATCTGCAAAAGAAATCAGTGCTTAGGTTCCAATTAGCAATAGAATGTCTGCTTTCAACATGCTCTTAAAGTCAGATTATTTTTTGCCACTTGAGGGAGCACTGTTTCTAGATATGGGATCACCGTTTGGTCTATGCTTGGAACGGAGACTCCATGCAGGAAAAAAAAAGGTTCTTCCAGATAGGGCTGGATGCCAGGTTGATTCAGAAGGACTAGCTGAAGGATGTGCAGAGTCTGTTTTGTTTTGCTTTGCTTTTTTGGTAATTGTTGAATTTCATTCCTCCTCTCGCCAAGACAACAACGTGTCCTACCGACTTAACAAGAAATGTGTCCCAACCTGTACTGAGAATTTCATTGATACCGGCATGGGAAGCGTTTCCACGAAATGTTGCGAAAGCTCCCTCTGCAATATTAGTGGGGCCAACAGTGTGAAAATCAGCAGCACGGTGATGGCGTTGGGGACCCTGGCCAGTTTCTTGTACATCTTCCGATCAGGATTGTGAAGCACGGGAGGAAAGCGTCTAGTTCCCCCCACCAAAAGACTAACAAGCATCTCTGCCTTGGTTTCCTGATGCATCCACAGAGCAGCTTGCTCACTCCGGCAGACTCTGGCCAGGAGCATTACAGGGCGGTCCCTTGCTGATGTCCCACCTTCCTGCTTGCTCGCTCCCGGATCCCTGGGGACAAAATTTCTCTTTATAAATTTCATTCCTCTTGCCCGCCTCTTGGGATGCTTGCCCAGAAGCGGCTCAATCCTTTTTCAGCGAACAGGAAATTCTAATCTGGGGAGCTGGTGATCCAGAGAAGACAGCAAAGTTGCAGCCAGAGCGTGGGAAAGTTACTTTTTTGAACTCCCAGAATTCACTCTGTCCCATGGCCGTGCAGGCTAGCAGACACTCTCAGCCGAATGCTGGCTGTTGTATGCTGGGAGTTGATGTTCTCCAAAAGTAAATTTTTCTAAGACGTACCACACTAGGGGACACTTCGTTATACCTTCAGTAGCTTCCTAAGGTATTGCAAGTAAAATGGATTTCTTTCCTCTGTCTTTTATTCCACTTATAGTTCACCCTCTGTCGTTACCATTGTTTTAATGTTATTTCTTTGTATCTGTAATAATTCTGGTTCCCCCCCCTTGTATCTCCAGAATTGCTCTGAGTTCTGTATTTGAACACAGCGTTCTGTCACTCTGTTCCCGTGATCTTTAATGTTGGACTCTTTATTAATAAAGTTTTTTGCCGTTTGATTTGGCCACCCCCTGGTCTTTGCTGATGTTCCATTTTCACAAACTGAGGACCACAATAAAAACCAGTTTAATCTTCATCCTGATTGGTCTGTAATTTATTCACAGCAGCTAATTCACACAAAAAGCCAAGCTTTAACAATAATAATTTATCTTCATCCTGGTGGGTCTGTGATTTATTCACAGCAGTTCATTCCCATCAAAAGCCAGCATTAATAACAATGATAATCTTGTGCTGTCAAATCCATTCTGATTTGCAGTGACCTTTTTAACCGTTTTCCAGGTAGAAAATACTCAGAAGTGGTTTCCCCTTCCCTTCCTCCAGAGGGCGCCCTGGGACTGTGCAGCTTGCCCAAGGCCGCCCAGGCTGGCTCTACATAGGAAGCACAGTCAGGAATCGAACTCCCAACCCACCTAAACTATTAATCTATCCAGTCACCACCCTGAATAAGAAGAACCAAACCCCATTGAGAGGAGCCCTTCGGTGAATTCTGAATAGGGCGCAAGACGAATATTCGCCAAACACTTTGTTCCCATCAAACATAAGACGACAACTTCATGACTCATTGCCACAGTGAGGGATTCTGGAAGTGACCAGTGATGACCAGAAGCCGCTTAAAAATAGCTCTCACCTCTAGCCTGTTTGAAAGCTCCCACTGCCAGCCCATTGGCTGAGTTGGAAGGAAGTCATGGAATGTTGTCAAACACGCTAATAAGGGAGTAGGAAGGGTTCGGGTTGCAGAAAATGGCACTCCATTGCTAGAAATGGATTGGAAGACTTCCCCCATGGAAAAAGGGGTGGGAATAGGGGTTCTTCTGGGTGTTGGGATTCATTTGTGCCAGAGCTCCTCATAGCTTGGGCCCAGTTGCACAGCCATGAGGGAACTACAGATTATTCCTAAGCAACAAAGATGAGGCGCAGAGCTAACAGACGAGTGTTTCCAGACAAGTCCTCACATCCCATGCCTTTGAAAATAAGCAATAACTTGGAGAGAAGAGAAGTGAGAAGAAGGAGGGCGGGTGGGGGAAATGTCTACTAAAAAGAGAAATCATGTTCTGCATGAATCTCAACAGATGGGAAACCTTGACCGAGGGCAGGTGGGGGAAATGTCTACGAAAAAGAGAACAGATGGGAAACCTTGACATCTGAGTATTCAGCCCGGAGGCAGGCGGTGTATCACGGCCTCTCCCAATTTGAAGAGACCCTTGTCCAGCAGGCCGAGGCAAAGAGGCCATCTCGAAACCAGCAAAATCAGGGAGATTTGCAAGGCTAGGTGATGGGGAACATGGCCACAAGGGGTTGTTTTTAAAAGAAATGTGCATGTTATGAAACAGTCTTGTGTAATAAGGAATGGAAGGTAGTGTGGAAACAAGTTTTTTTGGGGGGGGACTGGACCTGCAGTCGCGCCCAACTTGATGTTTCTTCCTGCTGATGGCCTCAGTCTCCCTCATTCTCTGTCCTTCCTGTGATTTCCGGCGAGGGAAACTGACCCTAATGGGTTTGTAAAATGGGCTGCCATCTGCAAAAGCTGGTCCTATACTGTATACAGCTTATCGGTTTTTCAAATGCCGTGCGTCTGTTGGCTGTCTTTCTCGCAAGAGTTAGGTGTGGCTACTCTATAGATCCAAAGCAGAAACTCCAGTTAACAACCTGTCAATAAATATTTGTTGTGCAATTTCTGCAACTTCTCTCCATGCTGATATTCCGTTTCAATCGCTAACAAGTCATGGTAAGAGTACTCTTTCGCAGTGGCCTCTATGGGCTGATCTTGGGCCGTTCCCACATTTGCTTGCTATAGCCTACGGGCTTTCTCCAGGTATAGAGAATTTTTCTGGAGCACAAGCAGATGATAAAATGATACAGCCATGGCTCTCACCTCTGTCTCTAGGAGGAACATTGGGTCTAATAAAATACCCCAAGCTCCTTACCTGGTTTACAAGAGGAATTTCTTCTCCATCAGTTTTTAGGGAAGTAAGAGCTGGACTTGTCAATGAACGAGCAACCAGCATCACCTCTGATGTGTCCGGAGTCAACTTTGGTTTGTTAACCTTCAGCCCTTTCGCCATGACCTCCGGACAATGACAAAGGGATGCCCTAAGCCAGACCTGGGCAAAATGTGGCCCTCCAGATGTTGCTGAACTGCAACTCCTAGCAATCCTAGCCCACACAGCCAATAGTGAGGAGTGTTGGGATTTGCAGTTCAGCAACATCTGGAGGGGTGCACTTTGCCTGAGCACTTCTGGTTGCTTAGTTAAAGAAAGGTGTAGGTGGGTGTCATTAGCCTGTTGGTGGCACGAATCTCCAAAACTGCAGATGGTGCTAAGAGCAAGTTCCTTGTGGAATTCTCAAGGTTGTGTGATCACACACTTCTCCCATTACTTTGTGGGTCAGTAACTGCTGCCCAGTTCCATCCATATGGTTTCCAGTGTTGTCTCCGATGCAATTTTGGTATCACCTGGCAGGACAAAGTTCCAAATACAGTAGTTCTAGAACGAGCTGGAATTTTTAGCATGTATACATTGCTGAAGCAGTGATACCTACGTTGGCTTGGGCATGTCATGAGAATGGCTGACGGTTGATTCCGAAATATCTCCTGTGTGGAGAATGAGTGCAGGGAAAGCGCCCCAGAGGGAGACCACAGCTGCGATACAAGGAGATCCGCAAGCGGGATCTGAAGGCCTTAGGAATGGACCTCAACAGATGGGAAACCTTGACCTCTGAGCATTCATGGCCTCTCCCAGTTTGAAGAGACCCTTGTCCAGCAGGCTGAGGCCAAGAGGCAGTCCCGAAAGCAACAAAACCAGGGAGCTGGACAGGGGACAGACTGTGTCTTCAGTGTGGAAGGGATGGTCACTCTCGAATTGGCCTTCTCAGTCACACTAGACGCTGTTCCAAGACCTCTGTTCAGAGCACATCACCATAGCCTCTTGAGACTGAAGGAGGCCTACACACATTTTCCAGTGGAGACCAGGAACAGGATACTGGCCATTCAGGTTTTTAATGTGTGATGATAGCTAGGTGAGTTAGGTACAGTACCTGGATGTGGAGCCAGAGGTTGGGAGTTTGATTCCCCACTGAGCATCTCCTGGGAGAAGAGCCAGCCTGGGTGGCCTTGGGCAAGCTGCACAGTCCCGGGACTCCCCCAGGAGAAGGGAAGGGGAAACTACTTTTGAGCATTCTCTACTTAGAAGCTCTTGAAAAGGGTTGCCAAAAGTCAGAACTGACTTGACAGCATGTGATTATTTATTATTATGGTGTGATGAGGTGTACCTTCCCCCAGGGTTGTGAGATGTCATACAAAGGCAGGAAATGAATTATTATTTGTTGTATTTTTACTGTGAGGGTAGAGAAAAGTAAGTATGAGATTTTTTTTTAACCCTTTGCAACAAAACAGTGCGGCTGCCTAGCATTGCATAGCTTGACTTGGGGTAAAAGATGCAATTAGCTTTTCTGCCTTGTACGAAGAAGTCTGTTGGCCAGCTCTGTGAAGGAAGGTGAGCGTCGCACTCTTAGCTGTGCCACTTCTGGCTCTGCTCACACTGGCTGAGTGTGAAGCTCAGGTGGGAAACAAGAGGGGCAGGATCCGTCCTCGATCATCCCGGAGTGCAGGACACATAATAACGGGCTCAAGCAACGGGAAGCCAGATTTCGGTTGAATGTTAGGAAAAACTTCTTAACTGTTAGAACAGTATGACAATGGAGTCAAATACCTAGGGAAGTGGTGAGTGCCCTCCTTGAGAAAGTCAGCATAGGGTAGTAGGTGGAGAGCTGGGCTGGGACTTAAAAGATGTGGGTTCAAATGTATGGCCATGGAAACCTGCACACTTCACATACTCCAAAAACCCTTCTACATCACTGCATGTCCGTCAGTAGTGATGCGATGGCACCCAACAATAACAACACACCTATCTTGGGTGCCTGCTCTCATGTATCCTAAATTGCCTTTGGAAATTCAGGAAACTCATCCACCACACCCAGGGCCATCCCTCTTGGTCTGGAATTTGGCCTCTTTTGTTTCCTCCTTCTAAGACCTGGAGGCGATGCTGTTGTTCTAGCACCATTGACAGCATCCTCTCCGAAGGACCTGAGAGCGTTCCCCTTTCCAGGCTCCAGGCCATCATGAAGACTCTTCTCGTCGCCTCCTTGCTGGGGGCCGTGCTGTGCGGAGAGACAGGTAAGGCATGTCTGCGTTCACCTTGAACTTGGTAAGCGAGCGGTGCATCTGGAGACTTGGGAATGTTGGTATCCAATTCATGAAAGCATACTGGGTGGTACTCTTAGCCTGGCCAATTAGAAA